AATAGAATAGAATGTAGAAGAGAAGAGAATGTAGAATAGAATAGAATTCTTTATTGGCCAAGGGTGATTGGACACAGATGGAATTTGTCTTTATGCAAATGCTCTCAGTGTACATAAAAGAAAAGATACATTCATCAAGGGTCAAGAATTATCAGGTACAACACTTAATAATAGTCATAGATTACAATAGAATAGAAGGATATAGGAATTGAATTTAAATAGGATGGGATGGTGTAGAGTTGTAATTGCAGGAATGTTCCAATCTCGGATGGCAAACCTCAGATAAAGAATGTTTCCAAGCAAATACAAAGGTAAACAAAGTCACTAATCTAAAGGAGGATTAGAGAGAGGAAGTAAACATATGTTAGACTTTAACTAGAGATAATTAATTGTATGGATTACTGTGCTAAACAGTAACGAAAGTTAAGCAGTAACCAAAGTTAACCAGTGATGGAGGATAACTAAAAATGTGTATAAATGCAAGACTAGACTCCAGTAAAGATCATCATGATTCAGTTGTTCATGATCAAACAACTCGACTGCCTCGTCATTACAACAAGTGGCGCATGAACAGGCACCCTCTTACTTCGTCCGGCAAGGATTTGGTGCACCTTCAACCCTTTGTGGTTTCTTCAACCTTTTGGTTTCTGTAAGTATGGGGTCTTCACTTTCTGAGGAACAAAGGAAGCATGTAGATGAATTAGGCTATTTGTTGAAGAAAAATAATACCGAGGTACCACAGAGAAATCTCTTAAGGCTGGTCCAGGAGATTGCAGCTCAGTGCCTATGGTACCCAGAAAAGGGGTCTTTAAAATTAATTGATTGGAAACATTCTTTATCTGAGGTTTGCCATCCGAGATTGGCACATTCCTGCAATTACAACTCTACAGGATGGGAAGGGATATAGAATATAGATATAGAATATAGAATGGGATATAGAATAGAATAGAATAGAAATTAGAATAGTAGAATAGAATAGAAATTAGAATAGTAGAATAGAATAGAAATTAGAATAGAATAGAAATTAGAATAGAATAGAAATTAGAATAGAATAGAAATAGAAATAGAATAGAATAGAGTAGAATTCTTTATTCGCCAAGTGTGATTGAACACACAGGGGATTTGTCTTTGGTGCATAAGCTCTCAGTGTACATAAAAGAAAAGATACATTAGTAAAGAGTCAAAAGATACAACACTTAATAAGAATCATAGGGTACAATAAGCAATCAAATCAAACTAGGAAACAGTCAATATAAATCATAAGGATAGAAGCCACAAAGTTACAGTCATACAGTCACAAGTGGGAGGGGATGGGCGATAAGGAGTGATGAGAAGATTAACAGTAATAATAGTGCAGACTTTGTCAGTAGTTGAACAGTGTTGAGGGAAATATTTGTTTAACAGAAAGATGGCTTTCTGGAAAAAACTTTCCTTGTGTCTAGTTGTTCTGGTGTGCAGTGCTCTATAGCGTTGTTTTGAGGGTGGGAGTTGAAACAGTTTATATCCAGGATGTGTGAGGGGTGTGTAGATATTTCCACAGCCCTCTTTTTGACTCATGCAGTATGCAAGTCCTCCATGGAAGGCAGGTTGGTAGTAATTGTTTTTTCTGCAATCCTAATTTATCTCTGGAGTCTGTGTCTGTCCTTTTGGGTTGCAGAACCAAACCAGACAGTCATAGAGGTGCAGATGACAGACTCCATCATTCCTCTGTAGAACTGGATCAGCAGCTCCTTTTGGGCAGTTTGAGCTTTCTGAGTTGGTGCAGGAAGAACCTTCTTTGTTGTGCTTTTTGGATGATGTTTTTGATGTTAGAGGGAGACAGGATAGCAGTACTCCAATATTCGATGGGCTGCCCCAAAGAAGAGGCAGGTCAACTTATTTTCCGAAGCCCCCGAAGGCAGGACGAGAAGGGATGGATGATGCAGATGATACAGATGGAAACGAACCAAGGAGAGAAGCGACCCCGGAATTAAGGAGAAACCTCCTAACAGTGAGGAGAATTAACCAGGGGAACAGCTGGCCACCAGAAGGGATGGGTGCTCCATCACTGGAGGTTTTGAAGAAGAAGAGACTGGCTGGTCACTTGTGTCAAATTGTACAGGACAGGGATGTCAAACTGGATTTCCTCGAGGGCCAGATCAGCGGGAGAGGGTTCGCACGCAGGCCCCCCTGTGCCTTGTTTTCTCCCTCCATGGTCTCCTGCACACTCTGGCCATTTTTCGGGCCTTTTTGGGCTGTTTTGTAACCATTTTTGGCCTGTTTTGGGCCTGTTTTTCAGCCTGTTGTGGGCCCATTTTTTTGGCCTTTTTGGGCCCCGTTTTTTTTGGGCTGTTTTGGGCCAGTTTTCCAGACTGGCAGAGTGCTGCAGGAGGCCATGGAGGGTGACAACAAGGCGCCAGTGGGGACACGCAGCCCGCTTTTGCCGCCAGAGGCACCGTGGGCCAGTCCCTTGATATTTCCAGGCTGGCCTCACGGGCCGGATTTAAACACCCCGCGGACCAGCCTTGTGGGCCTTCAGTTTGACACCCCTGGTATAGGAGCTCCTGGCTGGGGAATTCTGGGAGTTGAAGTTGGGACAGGAAGCAACGGAAGGAAACTAACCCAGGAGAGAAGCAACCTGGAATTGAGGAGAAACTTTCTAACAGTGAGGACAATTAACCAGGGGAACTACTTGCCAGCAGAAGATGTGGCTGCTCCATCACTGGAGGTTTTCAAGAGGAGACTGGACAGCCATTTCTCCAGAATAGTATAGGACAGTGGTGGTGAAACTTTTCGGCATCGAGTGCCGAAATGGGAGCGTGTGCGCACCGCAAACCAGAAGAGCACCTCCCTGGCGCGCCATGCAGAAGCGCCGGCCACTTGGTCTTCTGGTTTATAACACACATGCTCATGGGAAGACCAGTTTGCCGCTGCATGCATGCGCACCTGGGAGTGCTCCCGCGCAGGGGTGGGATTCAAATTTTTTAATAACCCGTTCCATGGGCGTGGCTTAGGTGGGTGGGTGTGGCTTGGTGGTCATGTGACTGTGTGGACGTGTCTTGGTGGTCATGTTATTGGCTGGGTGTGGCCAACTCAATATCACTCACATCGAGGCACGCATCTCCTCGCCTGGCCTCTCGTGACTCTGGGGATGCTGCAACGGTCGTAGGTGTGAAAAATGGTCATAAGTCACTTTTTTCAGTGCCATTGTAACTTTGAATGGTCACTCCACACAAGCAAAGTATCAGCAAAGGAGGGAAAAAGAAACTCCAGAGAGGTTCCTGTGACAGGAAGTCTCGTCCTGCCAAGAATGTAATAAGGGTCAACGGAGAGGCAGTTTCTGTAGGCAACACCAGAATGTTTCCTTCCTGCCTTCCTTACAGGATTAGCCCAGTAATTTCTTCTAACAACCGGTTCTCCGAACTGCTTAGAAGGTTAACAACCAGTTCTAGAGAATAGGTAGAATCCCACCCCTGCTCCCGCGCATGCGAAGGCCAGCTGGCCAGCATGCATGCGCTCATGAACACCAGCTGGCTGGCGTGCGCATGCGCACTGGGGAAGCTGCTCTTCTGGTTTCCAGTGCTCTTGTGCGCACGAAGACCAGCTGGCCGGAACCCAGAAGAGCAACGGGTGACGGCTGGCGTGCCTGGAGAGATGGCTCTGCGTGCCACTTCCAGCATGCGTGTCATAGGTTCACTATCACAGGTAGAGGATCTCCTGCTTGAGCAGGGGGTGAGACTAGAAGACCTCCAAGGTCCCTTCCAGCTCTATTCTGACTTAAACTCCCAGAATTCCCCAGCCACAAACCACCCTTGCTGAGAATTCTGGCATTGGGAAACCCTGGATGGGAGAAGGCTCTATATTTGGTGGCTGACTCCAGGTCAAGTTTAAAAGTCCTGGCGGGTGATTAATGTTTAACTTGTGTTTTCCGAGCAAAGGTTGAGAGGCAGCAGGGCTGGTTTTTGTCCTTTATTGACACCTGGCCTCACCTTCCGGCCCGCTGCCAGTTCTCCCTGCTCTTATCTGCTCCTGGGGCTGCTTTTTGTGAGCCAGGTGGGCATGTGGCATGGACAGGCATTGAAATAATAAAGAACCTTTCCTGAGGACATCAGAGCCATACTTGGAGAGCCAATTTGGTCTAGTGGTTAAGGCACCAGTCTAGAGACTGGGAGACGGTGAATTCTAGTCCCACCTTAGGCACGAAAGCCATCTGGGTGACTTTGGGTCAGTCACCAGGAGGTGGGGAGTTCTAGTCCCGCCTTAGCCATGAAAGCCAGCTGAGTGACTTTGGGTCAATCATCAGGAGACAGTGAATTCTAGTCTAGTTCTATACCTTAGCTATGAAAGCCAGCTGGATGACTTTTGGGTCAACACCCCCATCCCGCCCCCTTACCTGCACTGCGCATGTGTATGCTTCCCGGTTGATTTTCGGCCCGTCTGAGGCCCTTTTCACCCTCCCAGAAGCTCGAGGGAAGCCTTTGGAGCCTCAGGAGGCTGAAAAAACCGTTTTTGCACTTCCGGTATTTCCAGCAGGCCCATTTTTCAGCCTCCTGAGGCTGCAGAGGCTTCCCTTGAGCCTCTAGGAGGGCGAAAAAGGCCTCAAAACGGGCCGAAAAATCAGCTGGGAGATGCACGCATGCGCAGTGCAGGTAAGTTTGGCTGCGGTTCAGGTGCCCGCAGAAATGGCTCTGTGTGCCACCTGTATAGGTTGGCCATCACGGGGCCAATATTCTACATTGCTCAGTTCGTGTCTGGGTGTTTTATCCTTGGGGGAGGGTGGACATTTTATCCTTGGTTGTGGTTGTAAGTTGAGGGGAACCTGTAACTTTATAGCTGGAGTTTCTCTTTCATCATCATCATCATCATGACAGTACCGAGTTCACCTTGCTTTCTTCTTGTTTTCTCTTTCTTTCTTTCTTTCTTTCTTTCTTTCTTTCTTTCTTTCTTTCTCTCTCTCTCTCTCTCTCTCTCTCTCTCCCTCCCCCTCTCCCTCCCCCTCTCCCTTTCTCTCTCCCTCCCTCTTTCCAAACGGCAGGAGTCCATCTTCGGAGGCAAGCATGAAGGCCCTCCGTCGCCCATGTCGAGCCAGTCGTGCGGAGAGGACCAGAACGCCTCTCCCTCCAAGCTGTCGAAGGAAGAGCTCATCCAGAGCATGGACCGGGTCGACCGGGAGATCGCGAAAGTGGAGCAGCAGATCCTCAAACTGAAGAAAAAGCAGGTCAGCCACTTGCGGAGAACGGGAGTACTTGGTTTTAGATGGTTAAGAAAATCGATATGGCTGCCCGATTCATTCACACTGACTCCGGATGGCTTCACGGAGATTAAAAACCCGGTATAGCTAATCCCACCTTAAGAGAGTGTTCTGACCCAAACCTTGTTCCAAGGAAACAAACGCAAAACGGAGGTAATAGCAAAACCTTTTAATGATTCTTTACGAATTCCGTTCCTTCCCGGTTAAAAGGCTGTTTCAAACTCATTGTCTCTGATAAGAACGAGCCTTGCCAAGGTTGTGCAAGGCTGCCAAGGACACCAGATGAAGTGGCCAAGAAATATCTCAAACACAAAGAGTCTCCAAACACCAACCAAGAGAATCCGAACGTCCACAAGGCTCGAGTGCAAAAACGTCTTTGCTTCCTGCAAAGAACTCCGGTTTCTCAGCTGGCTTTTATCCCTTAAGGGAGGGGCCATTACCTTGCAGCCTTACTCCCGAGTCGCCCGTGCTGCTGCAGCTGCTCTTTCCTTCGAGCAGCCCTGCGCACACGCGGACTGCGCACAGGCTCCTCGGGGGCCTCTTCCTCACTGCTGCCAGCCTCCACAATCTCCGAAGGCAGCGTTCCACTCCCCGATAGTCCTGGCCCCATCCCTGCCTCACACGCAGGCCCCTCACCTGGGTTCTCTCTCTCTGAGACCTCAGCCATGTGCACCTGCTGCTGGTGAACCACAACAGAGAGAGACGCTCCATAAGATATTTCCAAATTTATCTCTGCGGGGATGACGTTCCACAGAGAGGGAGCCACCACCGAGAAGGCCCTTTCTCTTGGTCCCATGGACCTCCTTAAGAGGGGAGATCCATAATAACTTATTTCCACAGGGAGAAGGCCCTTCTGTTAGGATTCCGGGCAGTTGCCCCTAATTAAATCATGAGCCTCGAAGCCAAGCTTCAAAAACTTCCAAGGATTTATTAGGAGCGAACATGTCGGCATGACCTGCGTAAAGCCGATTCTGAGACACATAATTCACTGTCACCCTTGACCCTGGTTTCCCCCCCCCCAACCCCTCTGGGTGTGTCATAATTCATATTCTCCAACCGAAACACATCCACAGCTGAGAGTCAACAATCACGTTCTCCAATTGGGGATTTTTGAGGGCAGAAATTCCAGTAGCTTAGTTACAATCTTTGCAAGATAAGAATGGAATGCGCTTCCGGTCCCCAACTGCCGCACTGCTCTTTCAAATTTATTCCTCCCCCTCTTCTGTTCATGGCAACTTTGAAACAAGCTGTCATGCCTCTGGTGGAGAGGAGGAACAGCCGACAGGGAGTGGAAGTGTGGCTCCGGAGGTTGTGGAGGAGGCTGGGGAAGGGCAGAGGCCGGCTGGGCAGTCAGAGGAGGACCCAGGCCCATCCCCTCTCCATCCTAGGGCACACAGGGAGGAGAAAATAAGGGAGAAATGTGAATGGCTGGTCTACGGGGGAGGAAAGGGCCCTGATCCCCTTCATGGGCTGCAGCTGTGACAACTGGATAAGAGGACAGACATGCATATGGGTGAATGCTGGAAACAAAGCATGGAAATATCTCTAGTTTATGGTTTCTCTCTGAGTTTGGCGTCCTTCCCAGTGTGTGTTCTGTTATCTACGATCGTCCCTCCAGACCTTATCTTGCCTGGTTTGTGTTGCTTTTTCCCCCCTCCTTCTTGTAACTGTTTGTGTGGGAGTTTTTTGTCTCCCGTCAGGGATATTTGAAGCTCGGAAGCAAAGTGAAGGAATAAAAGGGGCTTCACCAGGTTTTTGTGACTGTGTTGGTTTTGTATCCCACACCCTGGGTCATCACATAAGCATAGAAATGTTTCATGAATTGACACCTCCTTCTCGATCCCATTAGATGGACCTCCTTAAGAGGGAAGATCCATACTATCTTATTTCCACAGGGATGATGTTCCACAGGGAGGGAGCCACCGCAGAGAAGGCCCTTCCACTTGGTCCCATTAGATGGATCTCCTTAAAAGAGAAGGTCCATAAGATCTTTCTAATTTTATCTCTGCGGGGATGATCTCCCACGTGGAGAGGACCACCATGGAGAAGGCCTTCTTCGTGGTCCCACCAAATGGACCTCCTGAAGAGAGGAGACCCATAATATCTTATTTCCAATCTTTGCATGGATGATGTTCTACAGGAAGGGAGCCACCACAGAGAAGGTCCTTCCACTTGATCCCACCAGATGGACCTTTCTTAAGAGAGGGGACCATATCGTCTTATTATTTCTCATTTTATCTATGTGGGGATGATGTTCCACAGGGAGGGAGCCGCTATGGAGAAGGCCCTTCTCCTCGGTCCCACCAGATGGACCTCCTTAAGAGAGAGGATCCATAATGTATCCCACCTCCCTGCTCTGGTGGGTCAAGTGGAGGTAACCGGAGAAGGTGGTCCTTCAAATAATCTGGTTATGAGCCACGTAGGGCTGTGAAGATGATACCCAGCATGACACGGGCACGGAAACAGACCAGCAACCCATGCAGTCCCTCACAAGAGAGGCGACACGTGTGCGAATCTAGACTTGCACAAACCTCTGCGGGCTAGATCAACGGAGGCTTCTGGATCCTTTTCAACATGGGCAGGCCCATGTCACACGTAGTCAAAAGAGGAGATGACTAGGGCGTAGGTCACCATGGTTTTTGGAGTAGAATGGTTAAACGTCTTGATAGGTCTAGTCTAATTTACAGGATGGCTCTTGCGTTATGCTAGAATGAATCTGGATGTTTTCAATGGGTTTTCAACCCAGCTACAGGATCTCGGGCCTCCCAGGAGACGTTCATTATGGGTTGCCAATGCAGTACATTTTTTTTTTGTCTGTGGCTCTTGTCTTGTCTCCGATAGAAGAGAAAAGTTTGTAGGTCAGGGTTGAACTGTGGGGTCCTTGGTGCTCTCTGAGCTCGGTGGTTTCCTTGCAGACATTTCATGACCCAGCTAGGTAATGTCATCAGGGATAGAATGGAGGTGGGGTTTATGGATAGGAGGAGGAAAATTGGGGGTCCTTGGTGCTCTCTGAGCTTGGTGGTTTTCTTGTAGACATTTCATGACCCAGCTAAGTAACATAATCACTGCTCGAAGAGAGTGGGGTTTGTTCTCTTTCCTTGACTAGGCTGTTGTTCACTCTTGGTTTATCTGAGTTGGCAGTTCCCTTTGGGATATTGTTTATTCCTTGGATTGTGGGTCTGGTGTTAATCCTGATGTTAATTTCTGCTTATCGGGGCATTGATTGCTGCCAAGGAGGTGTTGTGGGCTTTGAGGTTTTTGAGTGTCTCATTGCAGTGGTGTGTAGACGTCGTTTATCTCTGTGTGCCTGTAGATGGCTGATTTGTCAGGAGTGCCCGGCCTCCAGGAATTCTCTAGCATTTTGGGATTTAGCTTGGTTAGGATGCTCAATAGTTTCCCAGCTGAATGCCTTCTCTCGTCTACGTCTTGTCTCTTTCGACCTCCACACTGAGAGAAGAGAAGAGAAGAGCACAGGAAGAAGAATTAAATAGAATAGAATAAGAAGTAGAATTAGAACTAGAAAGAATAGAATAGAATAGAATAGAATAGAATAGAATAGAATAGAATAGAATAGAATAGAATAGAATAGAATAGAATAGAATAGGAATTAGAATTAGAATTAGAATTAGAATAGAATAGAATAGAATAGAATAGAATAGAATAGAATAGAATAGAATAGAATAGAATAGAATAGAATTAAGGATGGAATGGAATGGAATGGAATAGAATTAAGGATGGAATGGAATGGAAAGGAATAGAAATAGGAACAGAACAGAACAGAACAGAACAGAATAGAATAGAATAGAATAGAATAGAATAGAATAGAATAGAATAGAATAGAATAGAATAGAATAGAATAGAATAGAATTAAGAATGGAATGGAAAGGAATAGAAATAGGAACAGAACAGAACAGAATAGAATTAAGAATAGAATTAAGAATGGAATGGAATGGAATAGAAATAGGAATGGAACAGAACAGAACAGAATAAAATAGAATAGAATTCTTTATAGGCCAAGTGTGATTGGACACACAAGGAATTTGTCTTCGGTGCAAATTCTCTCAGTGTACATAAAAGAGAAGATACATTCGTCAAGAATCATAAGATACAACACTTAGCGATAGTCATAGGTTACTACAGTATAAGCAATCAAATCATACATAGGTTACTAATGCGCAATCAAAACATACTAGGAAAACAAATAAAATAAAGATAAAGATACAAGCAACACAGTTATAGTCATAAGTGGGAAGATTACTAGGAAGGATGAGAAGAAGAATAGTAATACAGTCTTACTAAGTAATTTGACAGTGTTGAGGGAATTAGTTGTTTAGCAGAGTGATGGTGTTCGAGGAACAAACTGTTCTTGTGTCTAGTTGTTCTGGTGTGCAATGCTCTATAGCGTCGTTTTGAGGTTGGGAGTTGAAACAGTTTATGTCCGCGATGTGAGGGGCCTGTAGATATTTTCCCAGCCCTCTTTTTGACTCGTGCAGGATACGGGTCCTCCATGGAAGGCAGGTTGGTAGCCATTGTTTTTTCTGCCGTCCTAATTCCTCTCTGGAGTCTGTGTCTGTCCTGTTGGGTTGCAGAACCAAACCAGACAGTGATAGAGGTGCAGGTGACAGACTCCATCATTCCTCTGTAGAACTGGATCAGCAGCTCCTTTTGGGCAGTTTGAGCATCCTGAGTTGGCGCAGGAAGAACCTTCTTTGTTGTGCTTTTTTGACGATGTTTTTGATGTTAGAGGGAGACAGGATAGCAGTATTCCAATATTCGATGGGCTGCTGCCCCAAAGAAGGCAGGATGAGGTGCCAGTGGGGACACTGCATCTAATTGTTTGGGCATATTGCCACCCTACAGCGGGGTCCCAAGCGGAAGACTTGAAACAGGTCACGTCCAGGAAGGTGAGGGGTCTGCAATTATTTTCTTAGCCCTCCTTCCGAACCTCCCACGGATCTATACAGATCTCCTACGGAAGGCAGGCGGCTTGCAGTTGTCTTTTTTTTCCCCTGCAGTCCGTTCCAATATTGCTCTGTTTGCAACGGCCGGGCCATCCACCCCTCTCCTTCTGAACTCGCCAAGGCAACATCTGGCCCTCCAGATGTTCGCATTATCTCTGACTCAGTGCCTACGCGCGCGCGTGTGGCTGACGTTCCTCTCTCACCCCCCTCCTCCTCTCCCTCTGGTCTCTTAGCAACAGCTGGAGGAAGAAGCGGCTAAACCGCCTGAACCGGAGAAGCCCGTCTCCCCTCCGCCGGTGGAGCAGAAACACCGCAGCATCGTCCAGATCATCTACGATGAGAATCGGGTAACGCTTCCTCCCTTCGTCCCTTGCTTAGTCTTGCTGAGAACTTTTGGGGGGAAGGAAGACCTCGTTCGGTCTTGAGATCCTCCTCCTCCTCAACAGGTTCTCCCCCCCCCCCCCCCCCCCGACTCTCTCAAACTCTCACGATTCCTGGAGCCTGCGACGTTATGTTTTCTTGTTGCGCGACATTACGGGGAAAGTGGGATTCCTCGTGGCCTCGGGGGGAGAGAAATCATCGATGTAACCGGGGGAGAGCGAATAGCTAATAGTGCAAAGAAGAGCAACTAAGAGGACCAGAGGCTTGGAGACTTAAAAACAAGGGGGGGGGGTCTTCCAACTTGACAGCTTTTAAGACTTGTGGACTTCAACTCCCAGAATTCCTCCTCCAATCCCGTTAGCTCAGGAATTCTGGGAGTTGAAGTCCTCAAGTCTTAAACTTGCCAGGTTTGAAGACCCTTGCTTAAAAAAAAACATACGAAGAATGGTTTGCAGGAATTGGGTTTGGCTAGTCTAGGGAAGGGATGTGGTCAGTGGTGGAATAGAATAGAATAGAATAGAATAGAATAGAATAGAATAGAATAGAATAGAATAGAATAGAATAGCAGAGCATTTAGGAATAGAACAGAATAGAACAGAATAGAATAGAATAGCAGAGCAGAGCATTTAGGAATAGAATAGAATAGAATAGAATAGAATAGAATAGAATAGAATAGAATAGAATGGCATAATAGAATAGAACAGAACAGCAGAGCAGAGCAGAGCATTTAGGAATAGAATGGAATGGAATGGAGTAGAGTAGAGTAGAGTAGAACAGCAGAGCAGAGCAGAGCATTTAGGAATGGAATGGAATGGAATGGAACGGAACAGGGTAGGGTAGAATTTGGAGTAAAATTTGGATTAGAATTTGGAATAGAATTTGGAATAGAATAGAACATTGAAATTTAGAATAGAACAGAACAAGGTAGGGTAGAATTTGGAGTAAAATTTGGATTAGAATTTGGAATAGAATTTGGAATAGAATAGAATAGAATATTGAAATGTAGAATAGAATAGAGCAGAACAGAACAGAATAGAGGGAGGAGAGGAGCAACCTGGAATTAAGGAAGAACTTCCTAACAGGGAAGACAATTAACCAGTGGAACAGCTTGCCACCAGAAGTTGTGGGTGCTTCATCCCTGGAGGTTTTTAAGAAGAGACTGGACAGTCACTTGTCTGAAATGGAAGAGGGTTTCCTATTTGAGCAGGGGGCTGGACTAGAAGACCTCCAGGGTCCCTTCCTACAGGTCTATCTGTAGCTAATACTGCAGAGAAGAGCAGCTGACATGATTAAAGGACTGGAGACTAAAATTTATGAAGAATGGTTGCAGGATTTGGGTTTCTAGAGGAAAGAAGGACTGGGAGGGACATGACAAGTAGTCCTCAACGTACAACAGTCTGTTTAGTGACCGTTTGAAATTATAATGGCGCTGAAAAAAAAAGTGATTTAGGACCCTTTTTTACACTTATGACCTTTACAGCATCCTGGTGGTCACATGAGGCTCCTTGATAACCGACTGACATTTATGACGGTTCCAGTGTCCATGGGGGGGGGGGGTGTCATGTGATCCACTTTTGCGAGCTTCTGACCAGCCCAGTCCAGGGGCAATCCAGGTTCACTTAACAACCGGGTGACTAATTTAACAAAGGCAGTGATTTGCTTAGCGACCGCAGCAAGAAAGGTCGTAAAATGGGGCAAAACTCACTTCACAAATGTCTCACTTAGCAACATAAAGTTGGAGCTCAATTAATTATCCTGACTGAGTAATTAATCGGTGGAACGGCTTCCCTCCAGAAGTTGTGGCTGCTCCAATACTGCCTGAGCAGAGGGTTGGACTAGAAGACCTCTAAGGTCCCTCTCAATTTGGTTATTCTACTTCCTTTCCTTTCCTTTCCTTTCCTCTCCTTTCCTCTACTCTCTTCTCCTCTACTTTCCTTTCCTTTCCTCCCTCTTTCCTTTCCTCCCTCTTTCCTTTCCTTTCCTTTCCTTTCCTTTCCTTTCCTTTCCTTTCCTCTCCTCTCCTCTCCTCTCCTCCCTCTTTCCTTTCCTTTCCTCCCTCTTTCCTTTCCTTTCCTT